CCCCCCCCCTCCCTACCCCCAGGCCTCTGTTGCTATCCCACCCGCTACTCGGGAAACAGAAGGAAATCGCACTCAACACACTTGTGTGTTGGTGCCTTTCCTTCTGTTTCTCCTAGCTATTGCTAGCTACCCGGGCGGTTTAAGACGAATGTCCCGCTCGCCTTCTACTTTCGTTTAACTAAGTGGGCCTCGTAACTACCCTATTTTTCTTTCTTGCCCTCTTAGGCTGCTCTTGTTTCGTTGCTTTTTCTGTCTTTCTAAGGCTTTTTAGGTGCCTACTAGTTTTTCGTTGCGCCAACAATTTGGCGCTTTTTGTACAAATGTTCCCCTGGGAGTTAGGACGCTACTGGAGGCCCCTGGCCTTACTACTACTTTGACCGCGCCAAAAACGGCTTTGTGTGTGTGTCCACCCCTGGGCAAAAGGTTTTCGTCCACTGGTTCAACGGTAGGGGGTGTCTTGGAAAAAAGCGCCGAAGCCGGCGACTTGTGTGTGTCCACCCCTGGACAAAGGGTTTCCTTCGACCACTCCAATCAGGCAGGGGCAGGCAGGGGGCTCACGGGTCTGTTCCTGGCGTGAGCCAACGAAGCTCCAGGTTCAGACTAGGATATCGAAAGAGGACGCTCTTTCGACGTACCTGCAACCTGAACTTTTGACCACGCTGTCTAATCTGCTTGGTTTGTTTCCATGGCTTTTCATGATACCCTCCCCTAAACCATTTCTTCCCCAGCAGCTGCGCCGCTGATTTGCTTGATGCCGCCTTCGTGACAACAATGTTAAACCTTTCAAGTGCTCGGACCTATGCACCTTTCTGTTCTCTCACCTTCCTTCCCAACGTGACTTGCGTTAACTGAAAACCAGTGTCAGAGTGTGTCGATGTGTGTGTGTCGTTGTTTGTGTGTCGTTGTGTGTGTGTCTGTCGTGAGAGAAAGTACTTGCTAATTGAAGCGCAAAGACTTTCCCACAAAGCTAGGTCCATCGACTATGCAATCTATGGACAGGGCTTTGGGGGACGCAGGTCGTCCGTCGTGGCCCTTCAGTACAAGGTTCCTCACTGGTGGGTTTGACATCTTAGTAATCTCCTTTCTTTCCTGATATCCATTATCCTAAGCAGACAGGGTGAAGAGGCCCAGATTCGATCGTTTCGCACACAGTTAATACCTTTGAACCGACCGACGCGACGGCGAAGCTGGGCCCGCCTGGTGGTCGGACCTTCGCCTCATCGGTGCCCCAAAGCGGTCAGTTCCGAGTGGGTTTTCCCATGATGTCTTGTCATTTCTTGAATTCGGTATAGCTGCAGGTCTTTGCTAGAGTCTATAGAACTGGAGGCAGGTTCCAAGCTAGACCGGGATTTGAACCGGTTGTCCACTTGTCCCAAAAAAAAATGCATGGTTCTGACAGAAATGGATGAACACGATGGACTCTTCTGGATCATCCTGAATTAAAATTTGATCAAATTACAAAATGCAAAAAAACACATGTAGTTGTCCCTTGTCGTGTCATCTCCTTTGAGGTCCTTCAAGGGTTTCTGCTTTGCTGGCGCGCGCGCACGTGGCGCGTGCGCGACAAGCGGCGCAAGCCGGCAAGCCGCGTGTGCGACAGGTGCCAAACCAGCCAAAGTGCTGGCAGGTGGGTGGCGGTGGGACGATGCAGCAGTGGGACACGATGGGTTTGGTATATGGGTGGGCTTAAGTATATAGTACATAATATAATTGTATACATATTTACACATGTGTTTTGTTTCTTGCAGGTTTAACTGTTTAACTATAAACATTATATATGGAAGGCTGGTACCTCCTGTCACGGTGCCAGTCGGACGCAGTTTTCTCGGCCAGCCCCGATCGAAGTGGTTCTGATCGATCTGGCCAAATCTGGAAGCTGCTAGTAGCTTCTTGCTACTAGTAGTAAGGCACTTAGCTACTAGTAGCGATGCACCTTGCTACTAGTAGCTTCTTGCTACTATAATGTTACTAGTAGCGATGCACTTGTTACTATGTTCACATCCGCCTTCAACGCGGACGGAAGGATGGGAGCGACGAATACGAAACCATGGGGTGCCCGGCATTGTGCCCATCTTTCTTGAACGGGGAGTGTCACACCCAGCGTGCCCTGCCACGAATTGCGCCCATCGGCTTGGAACTGCTGGAATCGAGCTGTTTGTTTTTTTCCCAATGGCACAAAAGGCTCAAGGCTCATAATGGGTTTGTTTGAAAAAGATCCTTCAAAAGAAACCCAGTGCCCAAGGAAGGGCAGGAAGGTATCTCGCTTTGGGCACCTTGTGTATGGTTGTCTTCGCGTTCCAGTTCCAGAGCAGATCCATGGTTTGCTAAGTTTGGTGACAAATTGTGGGTCTAATGTGAGGGTTTGGAAATAGGGGGACCTTCGTGGAAAACCAGTGGCTTACCCAGGATAGTTGCTATTGAACGCAAGCCCTTTTGCTTTCCTCATCTTGTGATGGCCTACATCGAATATATAGAGGAGATGAGCTAGAGATTGAATTGCAGTTTCTATGGACAAATACAACATAATGAGGTTCATTTCATGGCCTCATCAACTTCACCCATGTAAATCCATCTCCAGTGGTTTCAGAGGTTTGATGGCACAAAGGCCCAAGATGTCTTTTGGACGGGTGTCCACAAAGTAAACCACGGTACCTTTGGGGGATTGTGCCATCTACTTTCCATCCACTTTAATTCTTTATGATGTCTCATGCAGATCATGCAGTCCTGTTGAGACATCATCGTGCATCCCGCATCCCCGTCCACAGGCGGCACGTCCAGTCGCGCCGCGAGCAGCTCACCCAAAGTTACGGAACCTGTCAAAGTTGGAGCGGCGCACGTCCTCAGTGGTGGCGGCACGGTGAAGTGGGAAGTGAGCCTCCAAAGGATTCCAAAGGCGAAGCTGAAATAGGATGGAACAGCGAATCCTCCTCAACAGGATAAATGCCTTGAACCTCCGTGTCCTTCGGGATGTTTGTATCGATCCAAAAGCAAACCTGCGGGCGTGACTCTGTGAGAGGCGCAGGCGCACAACTCTCTTGGGACTGAGAGCTATGCAAGACTTTGACAGAGTGATATAGAGGGATCCTTCCTGGCGCACTGAAACGAGCTGGTGATTGACCAAAACCATCCAAAACCACTGGGCCTTGCCATTTGCTGCCATCCATACGTGTAGAATATGTATGAATATGTATGAATATGTCAAATTTGTGAGTCGACTTGGATGATGACAGGACCTATACACGCACTCAATGCCACCGAACGCGCGGCCAGCGCGTTCGCAGGAGCAGTCCCTGCCGTCCCTCCACCGGCGCGGCGTTTGCGGCACGTGACCGTGCCAGCGGCGTTGATCCCCAGGCCACGACAACTGCAGGCTGCTCCGGCCGATGTGGATGGGGGTTGGCCACTTTTTGCGCCCTGGCCATGCCTGGGAAAAGTGGAGACGGAAGAGGAGGATTCTGAGATTCTCCAAAGTTGCATGAAGAGACTCTTTGTTTCCTTGGTCGAATGTGATCGAATTATCTCGAATCCATGAAAGGTTCTACTGGGTTGTAGCTGGAGAACTCGTTCGACGTGCAGTCTTGATTCTGATCATCAGGAAAGGTGCAGAGGGCTAAGGCTCTCACTGTGGCTCGACCAACAAAAGGGCCACAGAAAGGTGACCCATTGATACTCAACTATGGTCATGGGTGAGATATATATGATATATATATATATATATTTGTTCTTTTTTGCTGCTACCTTGGTAAAACTATGTAAAACTTTCGAACACATGTTGGTCGATCTATAGTCTATAGTATAGTCATTGATGTTGTTTTCAGGTTCCCTTGTCTAGACATGGTGATGATTCTTCGCCCAAACAGGCGCTGCCGCCGAGCCCAAGCGGCAGCCCTGAGCTCGTGTGGTCGCTGCGGTGGTTGGCGCCCGCGCTGCCCAAAGCCAAGAGCGAAGAGAGGCGCTCGCAGCGCGGACGTTCGGTCCGATCGGTGTTGGGTCGCAAACTCTGGTGGGACCGCGGGACGGATTTCCGTGACCGGTTGAGCTGAAGAGGGTTCCAAGGATCTTGTGGAAGTTGTTATATGGAAGGATCTAGTAGTCGTGTTTTGTATGCCAGGGTGCAAGAGTTCTCTCTTCACGAGGATGTTGGGCGACCCTCCAAAGATCCAGGGAACATCCACGTCAGTTACAGCCCAAGGATCTATTATTATTGCGTATGTATGTGTATATTGGTCTTGGTATGTTTTGGTGGAATGTAGAGTAATGCAGGTCGGCATCATAGCAGTTCCTTCATCATGTTGGTTGTGTGGCTCCGTGTGTAGAAGTCGTCGTTACAGCCTTGTCCCCACGTGCTTAGGTTGTCGAGCCATCTCAAAAGTTCAGAAGTTGGCCATGGCGTTGTATTTTGTTTTACTTGTTTTGCATAGCCTTTAGCTAGGTCTTCCTTTGGCCACAACAGGGTTTGTAGTTTGAGAATCACAGCTGACTGAGGGGATGTCCCTTTGGGGAACGGACACATACGGACAATACGACATGTGGGGTTCTCCTTTTTTGTACATAGAGGGTGGTCCTTGGGCCTTTGGTTCCAAATGCAAGAGTTGGCTTGTTGAGCTTGGGTTATTCATTACAGAGAGACCCAAAAAACACAGCAAGGAGTGTTCCCGCACAGTGTTCCCGCACCAAGGAGTTCGACCCTTGTACTGGTACTTGTAGGACAAGTAGCAATCAGTTGTGGTCACCACACGAGGTTGCGAAAAGCAAAGCCTATTGTCAGGGTCTCAGGACTATTACTATATAATATAGATCTATTGTTTTTCAATTGGAGTACGTTTTGGGTACATCTCGCTAAAACCAGTTAGAAGGGAAGAAGAGATGTCCCAGCTGCTTCCAAGATAGAAGCAGCATGAAGCAGCCTTATATAAACCCCTGCATCTAAAGCACTAAAGTGCGAAGTGTTCTTTCCCAACAGGGGACCTTCAACAAGGGCTTCAAACTCCTGAGCATTTTGTGGGCATCTAAAAGAGCTTCATCAAGGGAGGCGCAAAGTCTGTGAAGTTCTGTCATGGCCCTAGAGACTAAAGCGTACGTTTCCTTGAGCAAGCTTCTTTAACGTTGAAACAGAAAATCGTCCACCGAGCATGACCAAACAAGAGGAATATCAACGAACCCAACCAAAAGTGATGACAACTTACGTCACACACCCTCAATATCTGACAAGACCCGAGACACAATGTTATTACCCAAGACGGTTTAGCATCATCGTGTTTTTGGGTGCGGTTTTGGCGCGGAGCCTGTGTCTTGAGTGACAGCTTAGTTTGGCGTTTGGTTTTTGAGTGAAGGCGCTCTTTTTAAGGATTTGGCGTTTGGTTTTTGCGCGGTGGATGGGAAGATTTCTACAGAAACATAACAGATGAGCACCAAATCCTTCAATACCTTTTCTCAACTCTTAAGTTCTTGGTGTTGTAGGCAAACTTGGAGGTCAAACCGAACCGAAGCAAGTTCTCACGGAGTCAAATTCCCAAAGAAACCTTGACCCAGCAAGTCCATGATTCCAGTCTTTGTTTAGTTTGTACAACCGGAAAGGCTTGCCAGGGTCAATCTTTCTTTGAGTGTATAAGAAGAACCCAGGGCCCTCCAGATTTCTATCCCAGGCGAAGGCAGTTTTGGTGATTAGGGTTGTTCTGGCTGTCCATGCATACGGTTTTGATTGCTTGCACTCCCTACCTCTGATGTTTTTTCTTGTTTGCAGCTTGATGAGGGGCATTTCTTGCAGGCCAAGCAAGCCTCTTTGCTAAATGCTTCCATTTTGGGGCATACTCTGAGCATGCAAAGATGTTGGAGCGGCTGATTTTTTTGGGGCGCACCTCAAAAGAAAGAGTGTTGAGGGCTCTAGGTATGGACATATGAACAATTACACACTGACTCACTAACATGGAAGAAAATGGTCCCTTGGTAGACGACTTTCCTTGACGAACAGGCGGTGAATTCAACTCCACTTCCATGTGATGCGTTGCTTTCGGAGAATTGACGATTAAAAACCATATAAAAGCTTTATAGTAACAAGAAGCTACTAGGAGCAAAGGGCATCGCTTACTAGGAGCAAGGACGCTACTAGGGGCTCCTGGCATCGCTACTAAGAGCATTCTTACTACTTATCATGTTTCCATTATACGTAAGTTTGCTACTAGGAACAAGTGCACCGCTACTAGGAGCAAGGGCCTTACTAGTAGTAACAAGAAGCTATTAGATACAATAATTAGAATTTAACTATAAAAGCTTTAGGCACTCCAAACGATCCAAAAGCCTTCAAATCCCCTTGGCCTTCCTTTCGCCCCCGCGGCGCGCTCGGTTTCGCGCTCAGTTTCGCCCTGGCGGCCTTGGCCAACACTCTGGGCATTGCACCCGGTGCCGGGGATCAAGCCGCCGGCACGGTGCAGGCGGACGATGCAGGGAGAAAGCTGTGGTTTCTCCAAAGTCCGAAGTGAACTTTGAACAACCCCAGTGCCCGGGTGTTTTTGGGCCGAATAACAATCCAATGAATAATCACATGTTCTTCTACGGAACTGTGCGGAGGGCGGGAAGTGATCATGTCCGCTTATTGAATTGTGATTGAATTAGATGCTCCATGCGCCCTTGCAAACATATAGGCATGCCTCAAGGTGCTTTGGGACTTCCTATTCAACCCCCCCCCGCATATCCCAGGTTTTTTCAGAGGTCCCCCTATGATCCAAAACACGCATGGTTTCTTTGACGCGGCACAGTTTGTAAATGAAAAATGATGGTTGACCATTTTTGTTACGAGGGTTGGGCTGTACTGTACAATTAAGTGGGGTGCGGCGAGGACCAAAATTTGGGTGTGCCGACTTAGCATACCCACTGACCGATGGATTGGCAATCGAAAATCTCCCTTGTGTGCATCATCAGATACCACATGTCAAGTCACATGTCAATATGTCACCAGGTAGAATCTAAACGTTGTAGACAGAACAACTATAAGGGACTGAATCCATTGATCCGAACGTCCCTTGGATGCGCACGGAATGCGCTTCGTTCGTAGCGTCCTTCCTCGCTCCGTTCGTAGTGATGCCCGGCTGTTACGTTCGTAGGGAAGAAGTTGTGCCAAAACGCCATGCGCTGGTGCAGGTGCTGTTGCGGGCCACGCGCCCTCAAGCGCGACAAAACTGTTTGGATCTGATGAAGGAAGCTTTGCCCAGGCCCTGAAAGATTGGGGTAAAATGGGAGATAACCGGAATTCCACGCTCCCTGTGTGTTTCTTGGCATCGTTTTGTCGTTTTTTGCTGGTTCAAGTCACATGGGTCGAGCAGGTGTCACACAGGTGTCAACCACCCCCCTTTTTGGTTGAGAGAAGCCTGTGTATATAGAGAGTCGATTGCCACGATGTTTCACCACGAAGTGATCAACGCGACAGTATTCGATCCGGTGTCTTTGGTTCTTGGGGCGAAACAAAACAGTCTGGCAGGCTTTTGAGTTCAGTTCAGACAAGAAACACTGTTGATGAACCGATAAAAAGTGTTTTCGTATACTTCAGTTTGTTGTGCAATGTTCCTTATGCCTTAGGCGGTAGATGGCCCGGGATGCCCCAGGGTTGTCCCACATCCTCTTGGGGACAGACTGCCTCAACACCCGCGCCCTTCTTCGCCACCTTTCCTTTGCAGGTCGCACCAGACCTACAACCTTCGAGAGCGCGACACGGAGAGCGCTTTGCTCTCGACGCTGCGACGGGGGTGTTTCAGTGGCTGGCGGGTGAGACGCCAAGCTGCCCGAAATGCTTCTAACCAGAAGCTGAATGAGAAGATGTAGATGTATATATGTAAGCGGAGCCAAGCTTGGCAACATTGTGGAGATGTTTTGGTGATGATGTCCCATCGGTTGGCCACTAGTAATAAGAGGGTCTTCTGCGTGTTCGTCTCTGAGATTTGTGTTCTGAAGGTCATCAATCCTGAAGAAGATCGTGATGCATGTGTCGTTCGGCTGGCTATACTTTAGAAAAAGACTCATTAATGATCATCAGCTCCTTCTTCTCGCTGATCCTCCGGCTTCGCCGGTCATCGACCCGGCAGGACTGCCATGCGTCGGAGTGGCACTTTGCCGTGTCGAATGCCAACGGGCGTCTCGTTCTTCAAGGGGCGCGTGTCATGTTCAAAATGTTGTCTTTTGACAGGTGAGGTGAAACTCCCGGTTGCCGCTCGGC